AGGGCCGTGGCCTGACGGAGGGCCCCCCAAGCCCTACTGGCCCGAGCCGCGGTGGCGGAGGAGAGGAACGGCCGCCGCCTCGCCGTCTTCCCAAATGTCGCAGACAGCCATGTCCGAGACCTACGGTAGGGAGGGGCTGGCCGAGGGTGGGGCTCGGCGGGGGGGGGGGGCCTTTGGGAGAAAAAGGGGCCGAGGCGGGGCTGCCTTGGGCTGTTGATCTGGGAGGGAACGGAGGGCTTGCGGGGGCCCCCTCTCCGCCCCGGAGGGGAAGCTGCCCTTCTGCCGTTGCTGGACGTGGGATGCCTTGCGAGGGATACAGATTCCCCCATCCTGGACAGAAGAATACCTGGCGTTTCTTCTCCGTGCGATTCCTAAACTGCTCAAAACCTGCCGCCTTGAGGGTCTTGGCTGTCTTACTTACAGTGTTCTTCTCCGCACCACCACCCCGCCTGTTTTTATATGATGGCCGTCTTGTGCTATATCCATATGCTGTCACTGATTTTTGAGGAAAGGGGATAAAGGGCGAGCGTGCTTGGGAGCATTAACTCACGTAACCTGGATAGTAATAATCCGTAGCACGTCAGCCCCTTCGCATGCACGATTCCTAACAAACAGGGGAAAGGGCCAGTGTGGTCCGAAGATTACACAAATTGAAGAGTAGGTGATGCCAGACTTGCTGTTTGTTTTATTTTTAGTGGTCCAATAAAAGGCATCACCTACTCTTGCATTTGTGTGATTATTCCTAACAATCTTGAATGACAAATCAGTGTTATCTGCATAGGGAGAGATTTGGTTCTCTATCAGCTCTTTTCTGATCTGGGTTGATTTTCAGTGCAGACCTGCATTTGTAGGTTCCACTTTTTAATTGCATATCAGTAGTGCTGCTGTTGCAACCCATGTTACAGTAGGCAGTGACCAGTTTATAGGTCCTGATGTTCCAGTGGAAGATCACTACTTTACATGAAGAACTATAGCTCCAGTAAATGATAGTTTTTGCTTTGGATAAAGTAACGTTTTTTGGAGGAAGTTCCTTTTTCTGTAATAATCTGGAGAAGTGGGTCATTTTTATACCCTCAAGAAGAGCTCTCAATCTTAAATGGTCTGCTTGAGCTTAGAAATAAGTTTGATCTTATATATCATGTCTGGGTGGATGTGCTGAATAATAATAACTGCATGCCGTCAAGTAAGATCTGACATGGCAACCCTTTGCAAGGCTGTCTAAGTAGTACAGTACTCAGAAGTGGGTTATCATTTCTTTCTCCTGAGGGTGCCCTGTGACTGTGCAGCTTACCCAAGGCCGCACAGGATGGCTGTTCTGAGAGGCACAGTGAGGAAGTGAATTCCTAACCTCAGACTCCAGCAGCTAGAAACTGAGTTAGTGGAACAGCTAACTCACTGAGTTATCCAGCCAGCTGAATATGTTGAAGCAGTCTTTATTTTGGGTGGTTTGGTGGAGTATTGTTGGACATACTGTGATGTTTCTTTCATGTTTGAGATCGTTAAATTATCCTAGTTCTCAGTCTTTCTTAGTTTGATCAGTTTGCACCTCATCATTTGCTGCATTTAGTGATGCTCTTTATCTGTTGCATAATTTAGGAGATTACTTTATTATACAATATTTGAAAAGTGACTTTTGAATAAGCCGGAAGTGGGAAACTTTTGATTCTCCATGTGTTTTATCTTACTGCCCCATTAGGCTCATCCAGTATGCAAATCATAAAGGACTGTGGAAATTGTAATATGCTTATGCAGGAGCCAAAGGTTCCTTTCCCACTGCCATAAACTATGTAGTCTGAATAGACATCTGCCTAGGGTCACCTGGGGCAAAATGAATATTCTATTCACCATTCTATTCCGTATCTAGAAAGTTGGTGAAATAATGGTTTTGTTGTTTGGTTCCAAGTGCAACAGATTTTGAGGCTGCCTCTGAAACTTCTCACCCAGCTAGAAACAGTACTCTCTGAATGAGCCCTGCTGTATCTCATTGTACTTTTAATACGTACATGTAAGAACAAGTGAAGAGACAAAGCTAGACATAAATATCACTGAAGTGTATAAGGATATGCAATACAAGTGTCTTTCTGAACTAGCTGTAATATATTGCAGAGTTCCTTTATTTGCCTTGCAGAGCAGGCAGTAGATCTGCCTCTGTATGGCAGGTTTTAATACCCTGTGGGTTTAGTAAGAATGGGTTATACACTTCGTTCTCTGCACACCATGGTTAAAACCTCTGATCAGTACTTTGCCTGATTTCATTACAAAACTTTTGTCTTTCTGGATAATGACTTTGATTATATTGATGTCCTTGCAATGTTTATGCCTTATTTGTTTATCTTAATATGTTTTGATCAAACAAATTTTGTGCATGGAAGAAATAAGATCTAAAATCCTAGTACAGTAGTTGCATACTGACCCATTATGTTTTGGCAGTATCCCATAAATTTCATTATGTATTTGTCTGATGCTTTAAACACTCTAAAGGCAATGGATTGTACTTTATCTGTTTTTGTTTCTTCCGAACATCTCTACTCTTTAAAAGCTATTTCTGAATAAAACAGTTAATGCTCATTTTTTGCATTCTTGGGTGTGTGTCATATTATAGTTATGCATCTTGTGACATTCACATCTCTGTTGTAAGGTTCTTGTCTGAAGACCCAATTTCTTACTGTTCTAAGACTGGCTGAGTAGTCTTTCTTGCCTGCATTTTTATTCTTGAATCATTCCTAGTAACAACAGACTTCTCTAGGGTGAGAGACCAGACAGCTCACCAGAATCTTGGAGCTCAAAGCTTCTTTGTCAGTGAGGGAAAAAGAGAGAATAAGCCTTGTAATGAAGTGCCTTTCAAAGCTTTGTTTTCGTTTGTCTTTTCTCATCTGGAAAGAAGAAGCTGAAAGCAGAGTTGAGACATTTAAACCGTGAAGAGATAACAGGCGTAAGAATTGCTTTCATTTCACTGTGCAAAGTAAAACATACAAACAACTTTTCCCACAGTGATTTTGAACAAGAAGTGCTACTTCTAGACAAATGTAAGATTCATGTGAACCTCTGGCACATTGTAATGCCATGATGTTTTTTCTGTAGTTGTGTCAGATACATTTTTAGTAAAGTTCTGATTGTATTGGCAAAGCTTGGGAACAGATGAATATAACTGCAAGCATGGGGACTGGAATGGGCTTTGGGCCAATAAAAAGCCACATTTTTAAAAGGTTATATGTACTTGTTTCTTACACACACTTCTAGTTTTTGGCTCTTAATCCTTTCCCACTGGTAGCAGCAGCAAATTTTGGGATTGCGGAAATTATGACAAGTGATCGGATTGTTTACTAACATTTGATGATTAAAAGAGTCAGTGCATTGTGTATCACTGCAGGTGCTGACTGACCTTCCATTTTGTGTCTCAATCTTGCAACTATTTTCAGCAAGGGATACTAGATGATGATTATATCAGTTTGATATATTGTGAGATGCATTATTATTCTGCAGATCATTGGATACTAGATATGTCTGAGAACTTTGAGCAATTCTTAAAAGAAGATAATACCATATTGAAGCTAGAGAATTCTGGAATTTGGAGTCAAACCAAAAACAAAAGAAGTAACATATCCCTGGTGCTCACAACTTTTTCCGGTTGTGGCCTTTTCTTAACTGTTGTCTGTCCCTAATATTTGGTGTTTGTTGTTGTTTTAAAATAGTAATAGCATGATATTTAAATACACTTATTTGAGTATTTATTTATTTCAGATTTCCTATTTAAATTTTTGGTCATTGGAAATGCTGGAACAGGCAAATCCTGTTTGCTTCATCAGTTTATTGAAAAGAAATGTAAGTGTGATTAAAGAACAATTTATTTCTTCTGCAACTATTGTAGTCCATATTGATTTTTAACAAAAGTAGTTAGAAGCATTTTGAGATTTAATGGTGGTTGTGGGTTTTTCGGGCTTTATTTGACTGAACTGTTCTCAAACTATAGTGCTGATAGTTGAGGAGTTATGCAGAAATCTTCTGCATATTTAATTCAGTTTAAGTTCCATTGAGAAAAATCCTGTTCACACAGTTACGCCAGTGTGAACCAGATTTAGGCACTGGGAAAAATCAATGTAAATGAATCTAAAGCTTCTTATTCCCCTGTCAGCTCCCCATTGCCCTGGGGGAGCCTTTAATAGTCAAAAATTGCTGCCAGATCACCATTAGTGGTCCCAATCCCACTTCCAGTAATCTGGTATTGATTTTTGACTATCGAAGGTTCCCCTCTCAGTTGTGAGGCTCTTAAAGGCTTCCCTAGGGCAAAACGAAGACTTAGCAAAGGATTGGGACTGGGGGGGAGGTATAGAGGAAGCTTTCAGTTTATTTAAATAGCTTATTTCTGGTGCCTGAGTCTGATTTATACTGAACGATGCAACCAGAATTCTGCCTGTTGTATTACATTTGATCTACCTTAGATAATTTTCTATGTAAGGTCATATAAGAACATGCTATCACTGTCGAAGCTTGGACCATTATTCCCTTGATTTGCCTGCAAGATGAACAAAACTGTGTTACAATACAAAGTATATAAATCAATGAATCAGAATGGTATCCGATCATGGTATTTACAAGTTAGCCCATGTGCTAAATTTGTGTGTCCTTGTTGTTAAAATGCTTGTAAAGAAAGCATGATAGCTAGGGATCAAACTTTTAGGAGAAAATAATTCTTAGTCCTTCAACTTGGTGGGAACCCCCACACACACTCAGTTATGGGACTGGGAGCTTTCAAATAGCAGGAGACAGAGCAGCCGTCTGGCCTCCCTGCCATTCTGCTGCTGCTGCTTCTGAAAAGTAGTCCCCGGGTACTTTTCACAAGGATTCCTTGTGACTTGCAAAGGTACCCTGGATGCTTTTCAGAGGGCAAAAAGAAGTGGTGCCAGAATAGCACCCACCAAATGGTGGGGCTGAGAGGTCTTTGTTTCTCCAAAAGTCCTATCCTTAATTATAGCCATGTCTTTAAGCATTTCTGGTATGCAAAGTCTCTTTCAAATAAATGAGCAAATCACTGCTTTGATTGTGGTAAAAGAAGATACTGAAAATGCTAGTATTCCAAATGATATAAAAACATGTCTTTGAATTGTACTTGAATACTAATTGTGGCTTTCTCTGTTGCAGTCAAAGATGATTCAAATCATACCATAGGAGTGGAGTTTGGTTCAAAAATAATAAATGTAGGAGGTAAATATGTAAAATTACAGATATGGGATACAGCTGGACAAGAACGATTCAGGTATTTTCCCATGTAATTTGCTTGATATTTTATAGCATAATATGTTGGCTGAGATGCAGTTAACTAAAGGCAGACCCATGATATGATGAAGAGTATTTTGGAAGTTGCTTGATGCCTTCTTAAGCAATTTTTAAATATTCTTAATATCCTTAAATGTTATTAACTAAAATGTCCTGAGTAACAAATCTGTCAGACTTTATCTAATTTCGGAAGTTCTAAGACAGCAGACACATTGTGGCTATTGATAAAATCCTAGACATGGCCCAGCCACCAAGAAAGCATTTTTAAATTGTACTGCTTTTGTCTGGAGAATTAAGCATATATCCTGTGGAAACTGATGAGGCTTGAAGCTGCTTAACTTGGCTCGATCGTGCCTTCATCTGATATTAAGTGGACACAGTGGTTTCTATATAATTTTAGCACTGTGTAGAACATAGCCCCTCCACTATGTCCCACCAGAGGAAACAATACATAATTTGATGATAAGGACAGAAGGCCTTCTTTGCTGTGGTACTCTAGCTATGGAATGTGCCCCCCCCAGAAGTCTGCTTGATATGCCAGGTTATAATTTGATTTTTGGGGTCCAGTTATCCAGGCTTACTTGTTGGGCACTGATATCCCCCCCCCCCCAGAAATCTGCTTGATATGCCAGGTTGTAATTTGACTTTTGGGGTCCAGTTATCCAGGCTTCCTTGTTGGGCACTGATATACAGTAGTGCACAAGTTGTGCTGTTTCATTATCTGTACTTAAGATCTTTAGGCACACATTGAACGATAATAATTTAAATAAACAGCACACACATGGCTTGCTGCTTTCTTATAGTGCATAAACTTGTATTTGCAGATCTGTAACACGAAGCTACTATAGAGGTGCTGCAGGTGCCCTGCTTGTTTATGACATTACCAGGTAAAAAAAAGATATGACTGTAGTGTTTAAGTATAGATAAACTGTATTTTGCTCTTCCTGAGGCATTCTTCTTTGAGACAATGCAGATAGGTTCAGCTTTCATAGTCTCTTCTCTGCTCTAAGTTAATAACACAGAACTCTCTAATGTAAAGCTCACTTGTATTCTTACTCTTGCAGTTTATAGCTACCAGAGAGGTCTGTTAAGTGTAAGGAAATGAACTTTGAAACCTCTCAAATATAAACGTGTTCACTTTCACAGATCTAGTACCATCTGAGCAGAACTGATTGGTTCAATGATGATTCCCAGCAACAGAAATTAGGTTCTGTCTCACTTCATCTACCACAACACGATGCCCAAGTTGTATTTCCTTAGAAATTTCATTTATATTCATTTATGTTCAAGCTTCTGTATTCTTTAGTATAGCAGCTGATTTATATACAATACATAATGGGTGAGGGTGCTTGCTCTAGCAAGAGTCTTGAGACATCAAGCTTCCTAGAAGAGTGAGGTGCAGGAATCAAGACTTGCATGGATAGTAGAATGAGGAATCTCTTGGACCATACATTGTTTATCATTGAGATTTTTTCTTGCCTTCGTCTTTGGACATTGGTGATCCTCTTTAGAAACTCCTCCTATTCTTAGATCCCAGTTTTATCATTGCACTGGTCCTAGAGCCATATCAATCACACTGCAGTCAACACCTCAGAACAAAGTGCCCCTTATACTTATGAACATGACCTAGAATGCATATGTTGCATAAGTATTTCAGTCCTCACAAGGTTTCTGATCAGCACTGAAATAACTTTGTGAGGAACGTGCACTTTGGCCTAGACTCTTAATGATTACTCTTGCTCTTGCCTTTGGTTCCTCGATGAATTGGTACAGGCCAGGTGTGTGACTAAACACATAGCAGTCCATAGTGTTTGCCTGTCATCTGCCAAGCTGCAGCCTGTCCTCTTCAAGTCATAGGTAATCCAAAGCTGTACCACTCCTGCTGTACAGTAGCTCCTCTGCAGACTTTAGTCACGTACAAGAGAAAGTGCAGCAACTTTTTTCTGCCGCTGTATTCTCTCTTAAACCGAACATGAAGGTGCACTGTGGAATATCCAGTTAGTTATAGTTGTAGACCAGGAGTGATTTGAAGCACCATTTAGGGCACATTTGTAATTAAAAATCTGATAAATTGTGTTTTGTGATTCAGTCGGGAAACCTACAATGCACTTACTAACTGGCTGACGGATGCAAGGATGCTAGCAAGTCAGAATATTGTAATAATACTGTGTGGAAACAAAAAGGATCTTGATGGAGATAGGGAAGTCACTTTTTTGGAAGCATCCAGATTTGCTCAAGAAAATGGTGAGTGTTTATAATTGTTTGGTTTTTCCCATGTCTAGTTTTCCCTAGCCTCCTTTCCACATGTGTTGCCCTACTGGTTTCATCACTGGCCAGGCTTCCAGTGCATAAGCAGTGTTTCACAAACACTCTGTTAAGAGTGTTATATCAAGGTGGGATATAAATATTTTAATTTGTTTCATAGAGTTTTAATTAGCTTCACTTGGGGCGCCTCGAGAAGAAGGGAATGGTAAACCACTTCTGAGTATTCTCTACCTAGAAAACACTGGAAAGGGTTGCCGTAAGTTAGAATTGATGGCACATAATTATTAACAATGATTATTAAAGCAATTTAGAAATGTATGCCAGAATTATGTTAAACACACCAGCTTGCATCTATATTTTTCATGAGCAGAAGACTACCCCAAGCTGTAGATGCTTCCTATTCTCTGTTGTAATTTCTTGAAAAGTCATCCCTTCAGATTATGGACAGTCTTCCTTCATGGGATAGATTGTGAGGTTCAGCAGCAGCAGGAGTGGCACACTAAGAAACAGTGTTAAGCACCTTGCAAGATGAGAGTGTACTTATGTACTGTCTCTATATAGCCATTAATAGCTGAGAAATGTAATATATAATTGCTGGGTAGTCTCCCACTATAGAAGTAGGTAAGACTAGAGTTTTTCAGCTTCAGAAGTGGCACTGTGTCACATGTTTCCTGAGTGTTCTTTAAGCCGTCATTTTGAACATTAAAGACAGACATGCTGTATACTTTTTTGTCTCTTGCAGAGCTGATGTTTTTGGAAACAAGTGCATTGACAGGGGAGAATGTCGAAGAGGCCTTTGTACAATGTGCAAGAAAAATACTTAATAAAATTGAGTCAGGTACTTAATCACAATCCAATTTTCAACAATGTGAAATATGTTTGACTAATAATAAGTAGGCACAGTGGCCAAAATCTTCTTGTTTAGTATAGTAAACTATACTAGAGTAGACCGATTGACTCAATGGGAACTTATTGAATTAACTCCTAAGTTTTATTGATTCAAATGGGCCTACTCTGGTGAAATTTACTGGGCTAAGCAACAGGATTGGGCTAGTACAATACAGAAGCTAATTATAAAGTGCTTTGGATCTGGCTGTGCTTTTTCAATCATCATAAAGTAGCACCTAGTTTTTGCCGATGTCTTTTAACAAATATGTTAATGAAATAAGTTTATCCAAGTATACATGAATCAACTAAAACATTTAAATCTCAGATTTAATAAGCTGTCCTTTCAAAGCTGTTTTCATTGTTCAACCTGTTTTCCATTGCAGAAGAAACCTGAGGTCATTATGAAGCTCTAACCCAAAAATGTTTTTTCTATCTACTTATAATGCTAGTGGATAATGTAGAAACATTTTGATAGGTCTCAAATATATGGCATCTCTGTAAATGTTTTGTTAGTAATTGATTATTATAGTATGTGAGATCATTAATAATATTAATGATAAACTGAAAAAAATTTCAAAATTATTGTGGTTAAGCTAGACCTCCCACTGCCTCTGATCTCTGACTCTTACTACCCCTGTACTCTTGCCTCTTATTTGACTTTTAGCTACAGTGACACAATCACTGTAGTCCTGCGTTACAGATTGAGCTGGTGCAGTTTGCTTATTGATCCTTAAAAACCAGAGCCAAGATACTAAAGGTTACAAATAATGGTGCTTCTGTTACTAAAAGCTATTAGAATATAAAATTGTATATTTTAAAAATATTGTTCAGAAACTTCAGATTTAACTGTAATGGGTATGAAGAGAGATCTCTTCTAGGTTTTAACTAAGTTATATCGGTAATTAATGATATTATTTAAGAAGACAAAGAAGAAATTGTTTTCTGTTTAATCAGGTGAACTGGATCCAGAAAGGATGGGCTCAGGTATTCAGTATGGAGATGCTGCCTTGAGACAGCTGCGATCTCCTCGAAGAGCACAAGCTCAGAGTGTTCAAGAATGTGGCTGCTAGAAACAAAGAACAATTCATTTTAAGTTAAAAGGGTACGTATTCAAAATTTTTAGTGCTTTATTTTTCATTTACAGAAAAGACCAATATGGTGCTTAGAAAAACAGTCTAAATTTGCATTGGCAGCAGTGCAATAGATTTTACTTTGTCTCCCCTGCAGCCTTTAGAGCTGCCCCAAAACTTCTTCAAAGAGTCTGTGGTCCAGAAAGGTTTTTTTTTGGGGGGGGGGTTGTTAGGTGAGTTGCAGTGTATGGGAATGGCAGGTCTCCGCTCCTGTTAAGTACCATCAAGTTGTCTCTGACCTGCAGTGACGGTGAATGAATGATCTTTAGAATGTCCTGTCCTCAACAACCTTACTCAGTTCTTGGAAACTCACAGCTGTAGTTTCTTTAAAGTTTATGGAGTCAATCCACCTAGTATTTGATCTTCCTCTTTTCTTATTACCCTGAACCTTTCCCAGCATTATTAGGAGCTTTAACACAATGGTTAAACTGCAATAGTGCAGTCAAAGACTCTGCTCACAACCTGAGTTCAGTACCGATGGACTCAGGTAGCCAACTCAGAGTTGACCCATCCTTCCATCCTTCCCAGGTCAGTAAATTGAGTACTCGGCTCACTGTGGGATAAATGTGTAGCCTGCATAATTAAATTGTAAACCACCCAGACAGTGCTTCAGTTACTATGGGACAGCATATACACTGCATACTTTGCTTTATTGTCTTTTCCAGAGAATCCTATCTTCTCATGATGTGCCCAAAGTAAGTTTCAACATTTTTGCCTCCAGAGATGGTTCAGGCTTGATTTGATCTAGAACTTACTCATTTGTCTTTCTAACAGTTCAGGGTATCCTCAAAGCTCTCTCTCTTCCCCCCCCCCCACCACAACATTTCAAATGAATCAATTTTTTTCTGTCAGCTTGCTTTACTGTCCTGCTTTCAACCCATATATGGTTATTGGAAATGCAAGAGTATGGATGATTGTGGTCTTGGTCTCCAGTGGCACATCCTTATGTTTGATGATATTTTCTAGTTACTTCATTGCTGCTCTTCTGTATCTCAGTCTTCTTCTAATTTCTTGGCTACACTCTTGGCGGTTGAACCAAGGTATACAAAATCTATTTCAGTTCCTTGGTTGTTCTATCATTGTCTATGGTAAGTTGTGTAGTTCTTCTGTAATGATGGTTTTGGTCTTAATGTTCAACTGCGGTCCTGCTTTGGCACTTTCTTCTCTCCCTTTTACTAAAGTAATTTCAAGTAATTGCTGCTTTCTGCTAGTAAGATGGTGTTATTTGCATATCTTAATTATTGTTATTCCACCAATTTTCACTCCTCCATCTGGCTTTCTATATGATATGCTCTACATACAGATTGAACAGATAAGGGCATAAAACACATCCTTGTCTGACACCTTTGTCTACAGGAAACCATTCTGACTCTCCGTATTCTGTCCTAACAGCAGCATCTTGTCCACAATACAGGTTAAGCACCAGAATGATCAAATGGCACACTTTTTAAAAAAGAACAACCTATAGTTTCTTATGATCCACACAGTCAAAGACTTTGCTGTAGTCTATAACACACAGACTGTTCTTCTGAAATTCTTTGGTGCACTCCAGTAGCCAATGTATGTTTGGAATATGATCTCAAGTGACTTTTCCTTTTCAGAATCCAACTTGAACAGGCATTTCTCACTCAATATAAGGTAAAAGCCTTTGTTACAATATGTTCAGTATCACTTTGCTTGTGTGGAAAATTAAAGCAACAGTCCTATAGTTGTTGCAGTCCTTGACATCTCCTTTCTTGAAGATTGGAATATATATTGTTCCAGTCTGTAGGCCACCGTTTTATTTTTCATATTTGTTGGCATATTCTTATTATAATTTTGGCAGATTCAGTCTCTGTGACTTGACACAGATTTATCAGTATTCTGTCTACCCCTGGTGATTTTCTTCCTAGTGCTTTCAGAGCAGCTTTCATTTTACTTTCTAGAACTGCAGGTTCAGCATAAGATTCTTCTTCAGAGAAGTCTGTTATCCTTTTTCCTCTTCTGTACAGGTCCTAGCATACTGTTTCTATCTTCTCTTGTCTTCTGATTAGATTGTGTGCTTCCCTGTTGATCATCCAATATGCCTACTCTTAAATTTCCTTTGATTTCTTGGATTGTCTGGAAGAGATCTCTTGTTTTTCCTCCTTTGTTATTCTCCCTTATTTCTTTCCCCTGAGAAGTCTGTTATCCTTTTTCCTCTTCTGTACAGGTCCTAGCATACTGTTTCTATCTTCTCTTGTCTTCTGATTAGATTGTGTGCTTCCCTGTTGATCATCCAATATGCCTACTCTTAAATTTCCTTTGATTTCTTGGATTGTCTGGAAGAGATCTCTTGTTTTTCCTCTTTTGTTATTCTCCCTTATTTCTTTCCACTGAGATCAGGCTTTCCTCTTCCTATCCCAGCTCAGGCATAGGAAGAGGAGGGAAGGGGGACCCAAGCGATCTCCCACCCCCACTGTCTTGAGTCCCCCTCTTCCCTTCTCTTCCTATGCCTGAGCAGGGATCGGAAGAGGAGCGAAGCCTGAGAAAAGCAATCCCCCACCTCATTCTTCCCACCATTACTATAAGTATACTAGTTGCATTACTTATTTCTTGCTGCTGTTTTTTATAAACTGTAAGGGTTTGACTAGCCACCATGCATACCTCTGTGGAAATACAGGGTAGTGTTTTGTTTGTTGAAGCCTTCTACTGAAGCAGGCAAAGGAGAGAACGTTGTCTTCCCTTTCTCAGAACCCCAAAAGACTGGAAAAATAGGATGGAAATATCTGTGCTGCTTTTACCAGCCTACTGTATGGAACTATTGGTTACCTATGCGAACGGGCAGATTTGTAAACACAAGGCAGCTATATTTAGTACTAGCATTTCAGTTAAGTATCAGGTCGTAAATACTGGATTGTCAGTGTTCCAAATATGCAGTGTGTTTCTTCATGGCATTTTAAAAACTGAACATGGAAAATCTACACCTCTTAGCTTGCCTTGTGGCAACAATGGCATAGTTGCTTCCATTGTAAGTCTTACCACTTTTATGTATCTGTGAGGTTAATTTGACATGTTGTCGAGTAATGGTTCCCAACTGCAGTGCCCAGATGTTGAATTGTAACTTCCAAAATCTCTGACGATTAACCATGCTGGCAGATGCTTTGGGGAGCTGAGATGCAGCAATTTCAACTTTTGGTGGTAGCCACATTCTTTTGAATAAGCTACTAAATGAGATACACCAGGCTCCTTCCTCCCTGATGTTCAGGAAATTACTGAATTCAGAATTCTACAAAGCTGTCTTCAATAACTTATATCTTGGATGCCGTTAGTACTGATTTTTAATTTTTCCCCTCTTTTGATATTTTAATGGCATAAATGTTAGATCCATACCTGTGAATATTGAACGTATGGGGTCTGGTGGGGTTTTAGTTTTAATCTGTAAACTGCCCAGAGGAGCACTAGCACTAAACCGGCAGGATATAAATAAATAAACTCCCTAGCCAGCATGTCCAGTAGTCAGGTTTGGGGAGTTACAGTTCTACAACTCCTGAAAATCCAATATTAGATGCCACTAGTTTAGAGCCCTGGTTGGTTGGTTGGTTGGTTTATTTGATTTATATACCACCTGTCACATGCCCACCTATCCCTTGATTGTTTCACCAAGCACAGGGTGCAAGCTATGTGTCTTTCAGTTGCCACCAGTTGATTACATCAGCATTAAGTGTTATTAATGTACAGTAATAGAGGTCCAGGCCATGTGTCATTTTAAATAGAATCAAATAGAAGTTGTCTATTAATACAGGTGATGAAGGTACAATCAATGTCTTTAACTCTTAACCAAACATCCCACTTCATCCGCCCTCAACTGCCAACCCCCTCTCTCTCTCCACTCCAAACTCCCAATTCCCAAAACCTTCCTTCTCAACTCTCTTCAAAACTCCAATTTAATCTCCCCCTCCTCCTGCAGAGAATCTTATATCTCATGACTCTACCTCTTCAGTACTCTCATTGGTCCATGCAGATATTATATGAATATTCATGACTTGGGCAGACACCACACTACCCATCTGGCAGCTACGGCCTCTCAGTTCCCAGAAGCCTTCACCACTTGCTGTGCTGGCCAGGATTTCTGGGAGTTGCAGTCCAAAAACATTTGGGGACCCCAGTTCGGGAACCACTGATTTCAAGCATAGTCACAATTAGACGGTAGGATTTGAAACATACCATATTTTCCATGTATAAGACACCACCATGTATAAGACTTCTAACCCCAAATTAAGAAATCAATATTTTAAACATAAAACAGAATAATTTTTATTTAGTAATTAGGTAACATTTACATACCAGTACTGTCCCTGTTGCATCTGAGCACTGCCTACATGCTCTACCTCCAACAAGATGTGTTCCAGTTGGTTTGTTCAGCTGATGTCAGTTACATAAGGCTCATGATTGGAGGAAGCTAAGTCTCCTGACTGTAGGAAGCTAAGCCTTGTGACTGAAGGAACCCTGTTTGCAAGGCAAGGTATGGGCCATTTTGTTCTCTCCTCAGCTTACTTCTGTGTATAAGATGACCCTAAATTTTCAGTCTAATGATTTTAGACAAAAGTATCATCTTACACATGGAAAACTACAGTATGTTCCAAGGCAAAATAATTAATCTAGGTCACTTTTTTAGATTGGATCTTAAAGTCTATTGGATATTGATGTGTTGTTTTGTTTTTGCGAGCTGAATAACATAATCCTAAACAGTATTTGAACGTAAATGTTGATTCTCAGTTTGTACAGACTGGGGTGTGGGAGTGCCACAGTATCTAAACAGAATGTATACCTGTGCCACAAAATGGTACATTGTACCACAGATTTCATGGTACTATTTGTTTATTTCTACAAAAGGGTTTCTTTACTCTGTCAATGGGACAACTGTGGTGAACACTATGGGATTCCATCCAGCATTGCACAAGTACGCTGTTGCTGCTCATGCAGTGCGGCACTTTCCCTTGCTACCCGCCCAAGCTCCAAAACTCTCTCAATCTTCTATCTCTGTGAGTCTCTTGTATCTTGTAACTCCACCCCCAGCACTCCCATTGGTCTATGCAAATAGCACATAAATATTCATGACCTGGGCAGATGCCACAGTGACATTAGAGGCTGCCAGAGGAGGGTGAATCCTGCTGGATGTAGCCTGATAGCAGCTATAAAAGAAGGCAGTCTGGTTTTGAAGAAATAAAGGGAAAAACCTGAATTGGTACTACATATTTGATAATCTGAATGGTCAGAGGACAGTTATGAATTTTCTGAACTGTTGTAGAGGCTCTTTAGATCATGCATGTTTCTGCAAGGACATACATTGGCCACCATGACCTTGAGCCCCACCTTATTCCTAGCCCAAAGGGCAGTCTTGAAATATGTCATGACACTGTGGCTTTATTCAGAAGGAATTCCTGATAGGTTCAGAGGGGTCCCCCGTCAAATGACTTCATAATTAGTTATGTGCTATCAAGTCAGAACTTACTTAGAGCAGCCCTAATAAATAAGTTCAAGGTAATTGAGATATTTAAGGAGTTATTTTACCTGGTCCACTCACTCACCGAGTTTACATGGCCAAGTGGAGATTTTGAATCCTGGTTCCCCAGAGTCGTAGTCCATCACTCTGTCCACTATACCAGTGGTTCTTAACCTTTGTTACCCGGATGCTTCTGAACTGCAACTCCCAGAAACCCCAGTCAGGACAGCTGGTGGTGAAGGCTTCTGGGAGTTGCAGTCCAAAACTCCTGAGTAACTCAAGGTTAAGAACCAGTGCACTATACCATACTGGGTTAATAATCAATACTTTTTATTTTTTCAGCTGTCTTTCCAAACAACAATTTCATTAAAAAACTGTCATGGCTTCAAGACTTTGCAGTCTTAGAACTCCTTTTTGATTCAACAAAGAAGACCACATACAATATCTTTTTTAAAAACAAAAGTACTATAGAATGGCTTCCAGAAGTGTGCACTTAGCACAACAAGACTGCAAAAAGAAAGAAAGAAAGAAAGAAGGAAAGAAAGAAAGAAAGAAAGAAAGAAAGAAAGAAAGAAAAACTGGTAATTCAGTGGACAATACCAAAATTAGAATGCCTGTATATGTTTTCTGTTGTATATTTTGGTTCATTAACATCACTATTAAATTTCCAAAACATGCTATACTGACATAATATTGCACTAACAGCTGTTTGTTTACTTTTAAATCTAAAATTTTTACTTGGTAGGCATTATCATGTTTTCATACTTTTTAAATTTATTTTTTTTGTATTGTAGTTTATATTTATTGAGTTGACATTGAATGCTACTGGCATTGACTGTCACTGCTTTATTTGCCACATTCTTATTTGGTTTTGGGTTTTTGTTTCTTTTTGGGAAAACTTAGGTCACAAGTTTAATCTGCTATATTGAAGACATAGGTTTTTTTAATGAAACATAGCTGTCTGATTTCCTGATAATTATTATTTGTATTTCAGTCACTTTGTCAAGGATAGTGTATAAAAATAATACTGAACTCAGAGAGCTTACTCCTGTCTGATCTTGCCTTGGTAAATTCTTACTTTTTACATCCTAAATGATAACTAACTGTATTTTTTGAGTGAAAGATAATGCCGACTTGTTTTGCCATCCAAGAGCAGTATTTGAACTTGTGAATCACTATTATCTGATTTTTTAAAAGAAAAATAATTTCCAGTTTATAAACCTCTGTGGAAAGAAGCAATCTGAAAAGTAGTATATATATATATATACATAGTGTGTGTAAAAAGATTGCTTCAAAATTTACAGTGTTTACAAAGTGTTGTCAGCTTCCACAATTTTGTAATCTTAGAAATGCAACACAGTAAATGGCAGCAATTAACCCATGTTTGAGATGTTATAAATGAACCTGAAACTTCCACAAAGAACTCTCTTCATGAAAATTATCCCATGCTACTATGAAAGAAAATATTCCGTTGACTTTCACTGTGCCTAGTACAGGGACTGGGGGTATACCTGGAAACCTTGAAACCTTGAATTTGCTGCGGGGGTTGTATGTAACTTGGCCTCTATGAAATTTCTTAGCTATAGTGTTTAACAACCAACAGTAACAGAATATGAACATTTATGGCTGTAATTCTACAATAAGGAAACTCAGAACCTGCACATAGGCTTTTTGTGTTGCATGGGGGATTTATGGTTGGAATTCTGTTGATTGCTGGTGGTATAGAACATTGTGCTACTGCAGAATTCCACAGTAGCAGAATTCTGGATTCCTGAGCTTGTCATTGGGCCAGTAGGAGTCAGTGTTGTTCCCACATACCTTGGTTCCCTGGTTCCCACATACCTTGATAGCAAGGAAGAAAAATGTTGAACAGCTCATGCAGCAGACCATTATGTGAATAGTTTGAACAGGATCCAGGCTATTGATTCCAAGGTGGCAGCATGATTATTTCAGCTAGGAAAAATATTTTGTATCTTCAGCTAAAGATTGCTGTTTCTGTTCCTTCCCTGGGTCCTACTGAAACGAATGCAGGGGTTTATACTATTGTCTACTGATAAAGTCATTTGGCTTACAGATACAGTAGGAAACCTTATTTGAATGTAGTATTTTGAAGGAACTGTCTTTGTATATTTATGTACCTGAGAGGCTGCAATTTGGTTGCATTTTATTTTTTCTAATCAAAACCACTGCCTGACTCATCCCAAGCAGTTTTCTACCCTTCAGAGAATATGCAGAGTAACTTGGGAGGGGGGGACTGGCGTGCAAGGAAAGAGTCAAACTTTCCTTAAGAGCTGCACTGATTTAAATATACTTGATCAAAATATTTGTATGATGCTTTTCTACTATCAACATTCAAGGGAAGGTATGGAAACAAATTGGTGAAACAAAACAGTAAAACCAGAAACAGCAGATAAAACTACGAACATCATTACATTGCAGATAAAATACTTCAGATACTGTGAGTAAAAAAAATTGCCAGCCAAAAATCACCACGCTGAATAACAAAATCAAATAAAAATGCAAGAACAAAAAAGGCAAATGCCAAAAGTCTGAGTGCCAAAGACAATTTTGGCAAGTATAATAATTAGAGAGGATTTCTCTAGGTACAATGAACTAACAACAAAACAGTTTTATATTGCTTACCCCCCACCTAAGCTTTCCTGGCAGAGATAACCAAAGCAGAACATATAAGGACTGTTTTAATTATTGGATAGGTTGTTACAAGAGAGGCTCATACAGAGCCTATCAAACTGATAGTTTCTGTGGTTGTAGTGCAGCAAAAAAGACTTGGGAAACGCCTCATGGTTTTTGAAAGTTCTTTTTTAATTTGCCCTTTCACAATACAATGTAGGCCCTTGGTTGAGTTTTCACATACACACATGTGCGATTGGGATGAGCAGCTGGTTATGGATTAGAACACAGAAAGGACACTGGAGAGCTTTGAAATCAATGAGAACCTTCAGTAGAAGGCTAATTCATTTCAAAGTCAACACTGAAGAATAAAGTATACTGACACCAGTAAAATAATTAACAGTGTTGTGTGTGGGTGGGGGGAACATGAAGTACTGTATGGACATAAATTTAAAGCAGTGGAAAGTTGCTAGCATGCAATATCTCTATTGGTGTGTATTACGTTTATCGCATGGGTATATAAAATATGCAGCATGGATGTCTTAGTTGATCAGAAGTGATTTCAGGGAATATTCTTCCTTGTGTATGTGTGGTGTTTTTATTGTGTGCTTTTAAATTTTACATGTATCCATGCCAAAAACAATTCCAAAGAAGCTTGGTAAGTATTTCCCTAAAGCCCAATTCCTGGAGTCCGGGTTATTTTCCTACATATGACTTGAAGCTTCCTATTTCTTCCCTCTCTGTAACTATCATAATACTATATTTGCTTCTTAAATTAGAAACAGTAATACAGTGGTGCCTTGCTTAACGAGCACCCCGTTTGACGAAACCGCTTAGCGACGAAGAATTTGCGATCGAAAAAGCGATCGCATTGCGGTTTTAAATAGGAAAAAATCGCTTTGCGATGATCAGTAAGCTGTTTTGCTTACCAATTATCACATAGCAATTTTTTTCCTACAGCTGATCGGTGGTTCCAAAATGGCCACCCGCTGTTTTGGGACGGATTCCTCACATACTGGGCAGCGAAAATGGCTGCCGTATGGAGGATTTTCGCTTAAAGGTGAGTTTTTTGCCCATAGGAACACATTGAAGGGGTTTCAATGCATTCCTAAGGGCTTTTAAAAATCGCTTAGCAATGTTTTCGGTTAGCAGTGATTTTTGCTGCACGGATTAACATCGCTAAGCGAGGCACCACTGTATAAAGGAGAATGTTGCACTAATTAGTGGTGAAATACAAAAAAATTTACACAGCTGTGTACAGTGGAGGAATGTGCTACTCCGTAATGTTCCTACACCTTACTTTGCATTTTGTTCTGTTTCATACTGGCAAATTATTTTCTTCTCTAAATGGAGACTATGAAATAGTAATGCACTCTATGAAAAGTAGGGATCTAGAACAGTGGTTCTTAACCTTCGTTATTCGGATGCTTTTGAACTGCAACTCCCAGAAACCCCAGTCAGGACAGCTGGTGAAGGCTTCTGGGAGTTGCAGTCCAAAACTCCTAAGTAACCCAAGGTTAAGAACCAGTGATCTAGAACAAATACACTCCTGTCCTCTGTTGTAAAAGACTGTGTGCCGAGAAATGCAATTACCAAACATTGAGGGTGGTGAAAAAACAAAAGATATGTCAACATGAATGCTGAACCTGGTCTTCCCTTTTGCTATTTTCCAGTAGGCTGGAGAGCTCAGGAGATCTTGCCTTACTGTTTGTGTAGACATAGTCTGGTTGCATATATTCTTTCTGAGGGTGTCCTCTTTTTTCAGCTTGCCATTAGAGTCAGACACAAGAAGTCTTACTACATATTCATCCCAAATTAATGCAAGAAGTGGTTGTTCATAAACCATGAAATATAGAGGAGAAAACCTAATTAGGATTTAATGAATAGCAGTTCTAAGATTTTCTACATCATCTAATGTGAATACAATAAGTCTCCCATCCTGTACACGTGTAACTGGAAATAAATTCTTGATTGTAATTTTGCTTTCTTCTAAGAAAATTCATATAGAAGTGAACTATAAAAGCAGATAGCTCTCCTCATACCTCCAAACACATTTCCTAAACGTTAGCATAAATGCAGGATTGGGAGGAATCTATAGGGAAGAGTCTTCATATCATGCCCCCAGATTTTCACCTCAGATTGCTCTCACTTTAAGTGTCTTTCTGGAGCTTAACTTGGGAACTTTAAGAAAAAAATTGTGAAAAAAAATCCTCTGCAAATGCCTCATTTTCCCCTTTGTGTGGTGGACAAAAGGATTTGAAACCCAGTACTTCCCTTAAAGTATATAGTTTCACCCATAAAGATTTAAAAACTCTAGCAGCACACTCTTGCTACATCACTGGAGTAGTTAATGTAGGTTTTCAAAGCAATTCAAGTGTTACTACTTGTAGTGGCTTGATTTCCCAGAGAAACTCCAGGAGCTTAAACAGTGTTACTACGGTTGAGCCTCAAGACAATACATACATGCCCTGGGCATTTAACTGCTTCTAAAAAGTGCATTTACGTAGTATTAGTATACATTAGTAAACTGCATGATTTCTATACTGTAAAGATTTTACTATGCTGGTTTATGTCATCAGAGGAATGTCACTGAAATGAATAAAAGGTTTTATTTAAATGTATTAAATGTGGGTTTCTTTTCAGCCATCTAGCGAGCTTGGCAGTGATGTGGATGAAGAGAATGATTAGCTGATTAACCTTTTCCAACGGTCATCCTGTCCAAGTATATGTAAATGAATGCTAAGGTGCCCTTCTGCAAAACCACACATCTAAGATAGTCCCTCAAACGTTAAGAAAAAATCTTTAACTATATGCACAGACTCTGATTTTTGGCTTGGGAAAGCTTTGAGGGCAGTGAAGCAACACCTGACAATTATTTAAACATATGTATAACATTTCTAGATTCCTTTTTTTGAGGACTTTAAAGGGCTTCATTATTTACCATGCCTGTTTTACAAAAGCTTTGTTGCTTTTTACGTTATTTGTGGGTGGTAACACATTTTCTATCTTGTATGGAATAATTATTTAGGAAGCATATTGTTTTGTCTCTCCTTTATTATTAAGCTCTGCCCTTCAGAGGTGGTTATGATGATGATGATAGTATCACAGCAGTGTTGAATCGGAGAAATTATGTGAGTTCACCTGAGAAGGGCAAGAAAAGGTGGCCGTAGATTAGTGTAGCATATTTCTGCAAAGAACATGGCATTTTTCTGTGCTCTTTTATATGGATGATGGTAGTGAGTTAGTCCATTGTGAATATATGAATCTCGGGTATACAGTTTTAGGTAATCCCACCTTGTGGGGAATTCTCTCTCCTTTTGGAAATCAAAAACAAACTCCACCTTAATTTGTTTTCTAAAAGACACGGTAGAAAGAGTTGTAAATTTGTTATTTAAAATATTTTTCACCTCACATTGCTCCTTAAAAGGATGCAAAGCAAGTTACATCATTAGAAGACAATATTAAAGCTAACAGTAAGTACAAATACTAAAAACGGCTCAAACACCACACTAAAAGATAGTGTGCTCTTGACAAGAAATCTGAGGAAAGGCTACCCCTCCACGACAAACTTTCAATTTTTCCAGTATAAGAATTGGAAGTTCTAATAAAATGATTTCTGTTTGTGGATGGAATGTTCTGCCCAAGGTTTTTTAGTAAAATATGCTAACATATTAGTAGCAGTAATTTCTATTAAGTTTCTAGCAAACATTGCTGGCACTAGGGAGCTTTCCATTCATGTATGAAGCCACTGTTAAAATGTGTACGTTGGAATGTCATTAAGTACATCCATAGCTACTTACTGCTGAACTTCAGATTTAACATAGGTAAATTAGCTGGTATCATCTTACAAAATGCATGAAAACTGCTGTCACCCTCCTGTAATTGTGAACCACTACGTTTAGCTAGGTTCAGACCCATGACACTTATCAAAAAAATGGTCGAACTAACTTTCCAAATCCATTTTATTCACTTGTACAAAGTCATAGCAAGTACAATTAAATATAAAGAACACAAAACATTAGAAAAAGCAAGTGCTGTTTAAGACATGTTCTAAGTCACATATTGCTTCAAGCTTTATTTTTTCCACACTTTTCTCTAAAGTGATTCTAGTGCTTACAAAAGTGAAATGCACCTCTGACATACCCTAACCCCTTGTTTTCCAGGGATTACGTGTAGGAATAGGAGCTGAATTTATGGCTTTACTGCTGTGTATCCCCATAATGGCTAATAAATACCTGTTTAAACAGCCACACTCCCAAGATTTTAGTCAGATTTCAGCTGTTCATTGCCACAATATGAATTCTTTGGGTTTTTCCAGGTAGCATGCAGTATCAGTATAGCTTGATTTAGCCAACCTCAAGTCACAACCTGACATAGTTGGGGGCAGAGGGTGTAAACATGTACTTACTAAGAAGTTGGCAGTTATTTGCATGATGTGTTCACCATTTTGTATCTCATACCACAAGAATAATTTTTCTCTGTACATACAGAAGCACAGAAAATCTAGTCTTCTGATATGTAACAGAAACCCTCTTAAGTGCCAGTCTTGTACAGAAATGGTTCTCAGTAATATTTATTGCTTAAAATCTCGAAGAAATAGGGCAAAGGCCCTTGCAGGAGTATGAGAGCTAAGGGGACAAATTTCCAGGAAATAGTTTCAACCAGAGTCATTTTCAACCAACCAGCAGAAGTTTGGCAGTGTTAATACTAACATTCTTGTGCCAACCATAGGAAGTTACATTACTTTCTTCCCTGCTGGTCAGTTTTAGATGACATCTGAGATGCTCCATTTTAATTCTTTAATACTGTTGTCAGGTTGATGTTCCAATCCAAGGCACAACTCTATACAGCAGTAAGCTATAGTTGCGCAGCTAGGTAGTCTACTACTGAGAAGATTGGTTGGTGTCTATGAGTAGAGAGGTTAGCTGGTTGTTATCTTTAAAAGCATCCCCCTCTCTAGCCAAGATGTTTGGGGGAGCGGAGGACCTAAATACAAATATGTTGGGCATTAGCTCTCTTATTTTAAGAGAGAAATCTAAATTTTCACCTGTGATAGCTGCCATTAAAGTCATTTGATCATGCTATGAGGTACATGTGAAACTACAAACACTGAAGTATTGCAGAATGTTATTTTACAGTCTCACATATTAATATGAGAAAGAATTTGTCAAATTGGCAGAAACTCCAACTGTGCTGAAACTGCAAAGTGTCATTGGTGCATTTGGGTGTATTGTGCATTCGGCAAATGAAGGGTATACTGATCCAGATTTATTGAAGACACAAAGAGATGATGCAGGTTTCCATGCTTCCAAGGAGAGAATTATTACAAAGCATTCCATTCATTTTGTGACAGTGCCCACAATTTTAAGATTTGCTCAGCCAAGTAGTTCTACTCACTCTCCTTCATCTTTACCTCTAAAAGAAAGCTTATGCACTGATGAATTTGGATGGTAGTTTTCCACTGTAAAGATGTGAGAGGCAGATAATCCAAATGTAAGTGAGACAGAAATATGTACATGCTCCTTTACCAGAAAGACAAATCATTTCAGCACCTGTTACTGTTTCTCTGAATTAATCAAGTCACAGAGCATAGCCAGAGTTTTAACACATTATAACTCTACTTTGAAAAAAAAAATCTCCAGCACAACAATTAGCAAGCTTTAGAAAAGGGGAAAGCCATCCTTTTTCCAGTATCTGCACATCATGGTTGTCATGTTTGCGGAACTTTATTCTGACTGGCTAGATGTATAAATGAACACTCCCTTTAAGTAGATTTAGACTACTACCACTTAAGAAAAATGGCCTTTAAGCCATAAGAACGTTCTTCATGTACTACTAAAAGGAGGGAAATTGAAAAATAGGACCCACAGATGTTGCAGGCTGGGATATTCCTGTTCCCAGTCATCCATAAAAATTCTGTATCGTCCCCAGTCACCCATTCCTCCTCCCATTCCATTTTAAATCCTTTCCATGCCACTGACTCCAGAGAGCAGCATGCTGTTCTGAGCTTCTTTCCCCAATAGCATTCGTATAGGGCATTTCCCTCTTAAACATTTGGTATGGTATCTATCAAAATGGTTTGGAGTTCACAAATGGCTACTTTGATTTGGTTGGGTGGTAATATTCTGGCTACCAAACTCACACCTGAACATTAAGCAAATGGTTTATTTTTAAAGTCAAGTTCTTTCATTTTATCAGCTGAAAGACTAGGGTTCCAACAAATCCATCTATTTTTGGAAAGAAACCAAAAGTTATGGGTAAGGATATCCAACATAGTCAGCAGGAAAAGACACAATGCATTGGTCATTAAAAAAAGATACTGAAGTTCTGCTAAGACATTAATTCCATAGTTGTGCAGGAGTTTTGTTACTGAAGCCAAAACATTCTTTAAAATCTCCAGATAGCCATTGTACTCCACAAAAGCCATTCAAAGCTGCTTTAAAAACATCACTTTAGAGCTTGGCAATAAACGTGGCAGACAGTCTCTCAAAACAAACTCTGAACTGTATCAGATTATTAACATTTTCATGATTACCAAAGGCTTATTTGCTTTTCCACAGACTTAGTTTGGGGGGAAACATGGGCATGTGTTAAGACTGGAAAAGAATATAATCTGTACTGTCAACCTGAGCACTCAACATATATTAAGGAATGTACACTGGTTCGGTGAGACCAGTAGAAAAGTCCATTTCAAAGTACAAATATTAGTAAATGTTCACTATTGCAGAAGCTCACTAAACAAAACTGGTTACAAAATGAAACATTATCAAAAGACAACAAAAAGAAATCTTAGTTCAGTGGCACCAAGTCTGTGTTACTTGCTGCAAATTACTGAACTGATTCCCACTACTTAATTCATGATTGTCTATCTCATTTGGTACAGTAAGATCATGACAGCAAATTAATACAGTTCCAAAATACAATCATAGCACATTACTTACCTATTGCACCAAAATCTTCAATTCCAGATGGCCACGAAATCCACAACTGGAATGTAAACCTGAATATGTCACATATATTTAACAAAAACTGGAGAGAATTTTCTGTAAATCCCCCCAACATTTTCAGATCTCTAACACTTTACAGACAGCTGTATAATAACCTGCATACTCAGGCCTCCACAGCTTAAGACTTGCCAACCATCACTCCCCCATTTTTGCAGACTCGGGATGACTTGCAACAGCAGAGTTACAGAGGCTCAAGAGTGGACTCCATGGAGCAAGAATGGGGAAATGTGACCCTCTAGGTGTTACTGGGCTATGACTCCCAACATCATTCATTCATTACCAGCTATGCTGGCAGTGCTGATGAGAGCTGGGATGTAACATCTAGACAGCCACACTCAATGGCTCAGGGGTATCTTTTGGCTTGTGAGGTCACAAGTTGCACTGACCCAGACAAACCACTGCAAGTTAATTAAAATAATTAGAAAACATAATGGTGTTTACATACCTGATTTTTAAAATGTCCCTGGCCCTCAAAACCAAGAACATTTTTAATTGTAACTAACTCACAGTGTGTCATTATGGAAACCAAATTTCTGTGGATTAGAACTGACGAGTTCAGTAATCAACAAAGATTTAAACATTTGTAAAGGAATCCCTTCTGAGTTCTTTGAATAAAACAGTTCACTGTACAACCTTTTATAGCTTGTCACCTGAAGGTCCACGGGCAAATTTCTTGGCCCACATGTTTTTGAAAAAGGTAAGAGGGAATCTCTACTAGCAAACAAAGTTCCCATTCCCGTCCATCAGTATGGTACCAGTTCTTTGCACTACAGCCAATATAAATAGCCAAAATATAAACAAATGTAACAAACTACCTAATAAAAAATCCTTTTGTAAAAATCTTGCATAGGTAGTTTGGAACTTTGCTGCAGTGTCATAGTTGTTTCCCAGTACTATTTCTGAAATTAAAACAAAAAGGTGGGGTCCGCTCAAGTTTTGAATCACCGGGCTCGTGCCGAGTAACACCTCATGTATTCAGTCATCCAGGGATTGTCTGGTCCAGATGGTTTCGCTCTCCAGTTTCTCTCGACCTCTGTTGAACGAATCTGTCTCTGGGACAGCTTCCTTTTCTCCACTTGCCTTTTGTTCTTTGCTCTTAACGCAGACTCATGAATCTGACAGAGACATGGAAGTGTCAACCAGTGAGATAAAACTTAAAGCTCCAGGATATTTGGATCATGAGATTGATGCATAGATTTATCTGAGTTACAATGTAATTTGCATTATATAGTTTGCCTTTATAGCAAGAGAGAACGTACATTTCCTTTATATTTACAGACCTAAAAGCAGAGCACCACTGCTCCAGCATTATACAGTGGCCACGATGAATCCAACAGTAGGTAAAATATGTCGAGTCTATATGCTATCCTGGGTGTTCACAGATATTATATTTCTCTGGTCATCTATAGCTACAGTCACGGCCAAAAATATTGGCACCCTTGCAATTCTGTCAGAAAATGCAACCCTTCTCTCTGAAAATTGTTGCAGTTGCAAATGTTTGGGTACTCACATGTTCATTTCTTTGGTTTGCGTTGGAACAACACAAAAAAACTGAAGAAAAGTCAAATCTGATACAATCTCACACAGAAACCCAAAAATGCACTGGCCAAAATTATTTGGTAGCACCCCGTTTGGAAAAAATAACTGAAATCAATGGCTTCCTGTAACCATGAATGAGCTTCTTACACCTCTCTACTGGAATTCTGGACCACTCTTCTTTTGCAAACTGCTCCAGGACCTTCAGATTTGAAGGATGCCTTCTCCCAACTGCTGTTCAGCTATCTCTCCACAGGTGTTCTATGGAATTCAGATCTGGACTCATTGCTGGCCATTTCAGAGCTCTCCAGCACTTTGTTTGTAACCATTTTGGAGTGCTTTTTGAAGTGTGTTTCGGGTCGTTGTCTTACTGGAAGACTCATGACCTCTGGTGGAGGTGCAGCTTTCTGACACCGGGCACTACGTTGTGCCCCAAAATTCTTTGGCAATCATCAGATTTCATGATACCATTCACACAGTCAAGACATCCAGTGCCAGAAGCAGCAAAGCAACTCCAAAACATCTTTGAACCTCCACCATGTTTGACTGTAGGGGCTATGTTCTTTTCTTTGAATGCCTCATTTCTTTTTCTGTAAACAGTGCCATAATGTCCTTAATAAAAAGCTCTACTTTTGTCTCTGTCCACAGTATGTTCTCCCAAAAGAATTGTGGTTTTGTCACATAAGTTTTGGCATACTCCAGTCTTGCTTTTTTATGCCTTTGT